TTTCAAAGCAGTGGTTTTGTGGGCTCTATGAAAAACTCAGACACACTCGACACTAGGAAATTTACCGATTGCAGACAAAAAGGTTTCTGAGCTTGTGCAGAATATGACTGATTCCTATTTACCTTTAAACTGTGTTCAGCACTGTTTCAGAAACCATGGTTATACTGAACTAGTTCTGAACATATTTATCCTTGACTATGCTGGCCACATCTAGCACCAGTTGTCAGCAAGAGGCAAAATGCCTACTGTGAGTCGCAGAGTCAGTCTGCAGAGTTAACACCTCATTGAGATGAACAGAACCATTCTGCACCTCTCTCAAGATCCATTCCCTCCTATAGGGCCGTAGAAGAGCCAGCATGGTTCCAGGGTATAGAGAGGGTGGGGACAGGACTTTGAAAGCTCACGCATCAGATGCACAAGCATTTTGCCCTGTGGAGTCCAGTTCCACATGCGATCCCTGTGCACTCCTTGAGTAGCAGCTGGGTAGTGGCTCCACTCATGCAATATGGCCTATCGTGTGCTCAGGTTGGATTTACAATTTGAACTTTAAGCAGTTCACAACCGCCTACTGTTTCGGGCTGGTTGGCTATGGATACATGAAGACAGCACTACACTGGGGTCACATTTGGAAGGATTTCTTTCCATTGCCTAGATGAAAGTTCAAATACTCCAGAGGTTGATGTGAAACTTTCCTACGCACCCTTGGCCAGTGAGTTTGTTAAGCATTGAGAAAAGTCAACAGAAAAATCACTTCATATGTTCACCAATAACATTAACATCATATACTTCTGACCGATTTATCAGTCAGACTTGAGCTTGATCTCCCTTGCTGCCCATATGTTTTGTGCCTGCAGTTAACAGGAGACAATCTACTGCTTAGTCTGCTAAGCACCCAGTTTCAGGCACAAATCTGGTACATAGCTGTCCAAGTGGTAGATATGTGGCAACAATTAACTACAGGCACAATTTCTGCATTGCAACAGAAGTGAGGCCATCGTGTGAGCTATATAAACTTAAAACATCTTTAAAGTTTGCACTGAAAGCTCACCCTGTCCTTCAATTTTCAGGTCAGATTCCAAAGTCCTTACTCATACAAAACTCCTAGTGAAATCAACAGGTCAAAGCTTGCTCTTAAGTTACACCAATATAGTCCAGAGCAAAATTTGGCCTGGAGTAAGAACTTAGGGCCATGTTGTGCCTGACCATTACATAAGTGAACAATGAAGGGTAGAGGGCACAAAGCGCTCCCCAATCACCCCTATGCAGGCCAGGTAAGAGCTGAGCAAAACTGGGGATACTCTGCATGCTCCCTCTCTGTGCTGCAGGGAGAGCAAGGTATTGCTAAGGGGATGGGGAGGAGGTGGGAGATACCTTGATCCTTCCCTCCCTCATATGCACCTCAGTAAAGTCAGATGCCTGGCAGCCCAAAGGGAAGTAAACTAGTAAACTGTACTCCACAAAGAGACAATAATGGTTGCACAGACTTTGTGCATTCAGAAGTGCCCCAAACAAGAATGGCTCGTTAGTCACCCGTTACTGTGGGATGTGTGCACTCTGAACAGTCAAGCCCTTAAAGAATCTGTCCTGAGTAAATACTGCTATCATTCATTTAAAACATTAAAATGTTTAAAAACATTAATAGTTGTAGCTTATTTATTATGTTGTTTATTTTGTTGAATTAATAGTGGCTTGATATATACATAAAATTAGCATTATTATTAGCATTAATACTAAACAAAATTAGGATTCAGAATATCGTAACCTTTTGCACTCTGCTGAAAAGGAGGAACATATCAAATGAATAAAACACACCTACTACTTGAGGGTCCATCCCCCCCACTACCCTTCTAGTTAGATAAACACATAATTTAGATAATAACATGTTTATTTTAGTTTCCGGAGGTTTCGGGATTATAAATATTTTCCCCAGCTGCATATTCATCAAAGCAACCCCCTCTGGTCATTCAGAATTATTTAAACTATAATTAAAAGTATTCATCTGATTGTATCTACCCCTCGCTGGTGTTTATAACATTTACTCGTACATGAGGCTGCAAAGCCTCTGCATGTTTTCAGTAATGTCTGTGCTGATCATCAGTGCAGTAGTAGGAATCTGTGCATCTCTGCCCTGCTGAATGTCTCCTTAAGGCTTTCAATGGCCTGAAAAGAAATTCAGGAAAAGAGAAACATACCAAACAGTGCCCCCTTGCTGTTGACCAAAGATGGAGGCCATGTTTTTAATCCTAAAATGTTTTCACCATCTAGGATTAGAGTTTCCACTTCACTATAAACATTAGAAAGAAAATGAAGTCACTTGGTGGAAAAATGGGATTATAGTAGTGAGAAATTTAAAAGACATACCAGACAGATACCATCCCCCTGTAGGCAGCATATCAGTTATGAGATTGATGTTATACCCCCATTTTAGCCAGAAAAATCTAGTTAGCTAATAACAGTCCCAAGATTCTGGTTTGTAAGGAAATCTTAATACATCTCTCTGACCCATAAAGTATCAATTCTGAGTTCTAAAGACACTTAAATTGCAATAGAAATGTCACAATTCCACACACCACATAAAAACAGTACACTTTTACATGGCATAAGTGTAGAATACACATCTGAAAAAAGGTGCACATCTTGGGATCAGTTGTGTTATTTTATTTAAACAAGAGAGATGTACAAGTCAATGGAAGTTTTGCTTGCACAAGGAATGCAGGATCACCCCTTGTGATAGCAAATCTTATATTTCTGTTTTCTCCCTTAAAAGCCACAAAGAGATGGAATGTACCAGACATACAGTCTGTCTGAAAAGGTATGTTTACTTTTTCAAATGAAACTTCCCAAGCAAATAGGTTTCTGACATGTACTCTTGCTTCTGATTGAATATTCAACCATTCCAAAAGAGGCTTTTCTACCTTTTTACTGTGCACTGTTTTGCTTTTGTCACATTAGTTTATGGAGCTATATAATTAACTATTATATACACACTGGGCAGACACCGCAAAGGCAAATTATTCCAATATCAAAATGAAATTAATATTTTTTCTGTTTAAAAAAATCTTTACTGCCTTCCTTATGTATCCTTATTATAATATCTGCTGTGTTTTTAACAAGTGGTGTAAAAAAAAGAAAAGTAAAAAACTTGACCAGATTTCCCCATATTTTAAATTAAATATTTTTCATAAAATATGATAATCAAAATCATATAGCTTAAAATACAGAGGTGGGACTTGATTTTATTTATGGTATTCTTTAGAACTGATGGATCATTTAAATTTATATTTATGGACCTATTTTTAAACAAGGATCATTCTATAGTTTAGGTTACACTCAGGCTTAAGTAACAAAGTGTGAAGGTTATAAAAAATAAATCACTGGATTTCTTGCTAATAAAATTGTGAGAGTAAAAGTTAAACATTTATTCACAATTTGAAATGACTAAAAATATACTGTAGTGTTTTTAATTCATTGTCCAGCAACAGATATTCTTTTTGAGAAGTGATTCAGTGCCTGAAAATGATTTCAGAACAATAAACATGAAAATGAGTCTCTTGCTTATTAAGATTTAAATCTTAAAGTTAAATTGTCAAGACCTACATCTGAATCTATGTAGTGGATAATGCCTACTTCAAGTCAGGTAGAAATATGGTTTTGATTTATTTACTCTATTTTCATGAACAACAGTTTCACATCTGGGTTTCTTAAGAGCAAGACAAATATTCAATTTACAAAATGCTGAAGTGAATACTGGAAGTGGTTTAGCAGCTAGTGTGCAACATTTCCCTTTTACCACAGAATCTACATCTTTTGTACATTCCAGGTTTCCAAATGAAAATACATTTGACGGGTTTTGTATTGCAGAACTATGAGTGAACCAATATGAAAGCAGAATTATAGCTAAAACCTGCAGAGTCTTTTCATGTTAAAAGCTGATCACACTGGCAGTGTGAGAAATTGGAACAGAAACATACAAATCAGAATTTAAATTGTCTGACTATGTTGGGCCTGTTACCCTGGGCTAAATCCAAAGTATTACCACGAAAGCTAATGAAGTTACTCCAGCTATACCAGTGTTACTGAGCAGTATTTAGTCCCTGGCTTGCAGATTACACCATTACCACTGCCGATGCTGTCAGCATCCTCATTTTTACAAACGTGTGTATTTGCCTCATTTTAAATAATTGTTAAAATCATTACAAATTAATTTTGCATAACCACAAAATATCCCTACAAAATGCTAGTGGTTCTTTGCAATCTCACACATTTCATTGCTAACACTACTATTTTCAAATCTTTTGAACTTCTTGGTACTTTTGAATTTGTGGAGAAAAAAACCTAAAATAACTTTTTAATCATTTTCAGCACTAGTAAGTTTAGGACCAAATCCTGAAAGAAAATTTTCCCTGAAGTTAACAGAAGTTTTGCATCAATTAGTCAAGTTGATTTGCTCCCTAATCTAAGGAGACATCATAACTTTTGATTTATCTGAAAGAAACACACTTGTAAAGCGGGGCTATACATTTTGTTCCTATTAAGTGAACCAGTAAAAACAGCGTGAAGAAGTCTCATGTTCTATGATGAATTCCTTTATAGAGTAAATATGGACAAATACTAAAAGATGATTTATGAACAGTAGTAACCTATTCAATGTCTACATTTATTCTGATTTAGAGCCTAAAACAAAAATGGAAAACAAGCATAACATTTGCTGCTTACTCATATCCTTTGCAGATTAAGATAATTCTTTAGAGAGCAAATGGAACAGAATATTTCAGTCACTATACTGGTTTTACTTTTTAAATCTATTAATTTGTGTTAACTATTAGACATAACGTAGATATAGTAACTGCTGATTTGCATGAAGTTCTGCTTTACATCCTTTTGGATTTTTACATAATATAATACAAAAACTGCACATCTTGTCTACTATCATTACATCAGTACAATGACAAGACATTACTGCCTCATTTTCATTTTCTTCAACAATTGCCACAACTGACCTTGTTTTTCCAAAATGAATTCTGTCACAGTAATGAAAATGTTCATTGTCCTTCTCTGTTTGGCCAAATCGGTGCAGTCATCTCATGTTCAAGAAGGTCATTATTGCAGTAACAGTCATCATGCTTTGATAGTCTCTAGTAGAAAGCATTCAGAAAAGGTTCTGAGATGCTTGGCTTTCCATATTTTATATAACCAAATATGTCAGTGCATTACAGCACAACCATGTAAATGTCATTGGTCATCATCTAAAATTCAGTCAGAAGGCATAGATGTTTCACAAAGTCCAAACCCATCTTTTGTTTTCAATGTGCAATTCAGGCACAAGCTAGAAGATTCACAGCATGTGGCAAATCCTGAGAGGAGAGTGAAAAGAAATTTCCATGGAATATTATCAAATCAGGATTCTCTCTAACACTAGAGTTCTATTGTTCGTTCATACTTGAGTCATTCTAGAACAGGTTTACTGCTCATGAAAATTTGTTATTTCATGCAAGATGGGTGCAGACAGGCTTATGGGATTTATTTAGAAATTTATCTGGCACCAATAACTTGTGGGTGCCTACCATTTATGGATTTAATTATAAAACAACCGTCCCCCTTGCTTGTTAACAATGCACATGTCCAATCACTACTCAACAGTTCCTAATACAACACTGGTGAACTACAGAAGTTGACAGGCTTGCTGATGTAACATTTCTCTGTCTTAAGTAAATAGGTTGATCTCATTAATTCAACTCAACACCAGCTCTTGCATTGAGATTAGCCTGTCCACGGTTATTAAATCATTGGCTTCTTTTGAAATGTAGTTCCATGAAGCCATGATATTTACCAAACTTGGTGGTTGTCTTTAAGAATCAAAGATGAGAGCAGTAACTGCAATCACCAGGATGGTGATTATAAGAGGTGGGTTTCATTCTTTAATACCTTCCAAACCCCAATAAAGAACCAACAGCAACATGAAGACAACCTCTTTTCCCTGTCTTTCATCATGCACAATACTTGTTGTATAAAGAGAGATAAAGCAGAATTTACACACACACACACACACAAATGAAATAAAAACCTTCCAAGTTTATTAAGAACAGTTTACTTAAGCTGATAGCTGAATCTCAGAATTTTTTCAAATTTATCATATACAATTAATGAGTAAGATAAAAGAGTATGTATAAAATCAGCTGCATATGATTTATCATATACTTATAGAATTCTATAAGTATTTATAGATCTGTGCAAAAATACCCAAGCTGCTCTATAAACCAGCAGCCTACCCCAGCCATCATTTAAATGACATGGCTTTCCTTTTAAAACCCTTACTTTAGGGGGATAAACATGATACCAAAATTTTGTACTAAAAATTAAAAATTGTATCAGATTGCCTTATGAAAAACAATGAAATTTTCTTACAGAAATTTAAATGAAGGAACAATTCCATTACAAACGGGGTTTACTATAATCAGAATTACAATGTCCACACAATAATGCACTGAAAGATTTTAGGATTGTTGCTCTGCTTCTCAATAAACCGAGTTTCATTAAGTCTAAGCTCATGATAGGAGACTTCTGCTGTATTAATACAACTATATTAGAGGTTCAACTATTTCAATTAGAGTTTATAGTTATCAATATAGAAAACTAACATTGCAATTATTATCAGATTATATCCAGTTACAGTTATAGCTAATCTTTTGGTTTGATTGATAGTTTTTTGGGGGGGAAAGCTTTCAAATATATTTGTGCTTAATGATCAACATTTGCTAACCTGGGTGCCTAAACTTAGGTATCCAAACCCGTATTTGGGTACATAAATAAAAATGGCCTGATTTTCAGAAGTGCTGAACTTCCACAAATCCAAGTGAAGTGAGTGTAAACTGAATATGCTCAGCACCTTTGAAAATCAAGTCACCTTTACTTAGGTGCCTACTCATGGATTTAGCAGCACCAGGTTTGAAAATATTGGTCAATGTCTACACTTCTAGATACGTTCTCCCCATTTGAAGTTTCATCATCTAAGTCCTTAAATTCTAAGGAGATCAGGATCAGTCCATTGCTCTTACATGTCCCACCCTGACTTCCAAAAAGGAATGGGTTTTTTTGCTGGAACTCAGTGTTATTCACTGGAATTTGCCACACAGGTCAGGAAATTCCCTGAAGGGAAGGGAGAATTTTAAGACATGCATATCAAATCTCATTACTGTTCTTTTATGAGAATCAATCAAATGAAGGATGTGATGATGTCATTATGACATCATCTACTTAGGGATTAAAAATCATCGCTTCTTGGCAATTGAACCAGTCCAACAGAGAACAAAGAAAGCACTGGAAGAGGTTATGATCTGTTCCATTTACTGTAGGATAAACTAATCATTTAGTCCTGAAAAACAAGGCATGTTGTAGTTTAATTCTACCTGTTGTTTCAAATAATAAGATAGTTCTATTTTTCCTATACCTTAGGTCAATCCAACTGCTTTTTTATTAGCCATTTGAGGAAAAAAACAAGTAACAAATTTGTTCCATTCCTGGTATTTTCTTTTGGTGTTTTTTTGGCAATTTCCAAACATGTAATGCCCCCAAACCTTTTTTCTACAGATGAGCAGCATCTGCCTCTAAGGAAAAAGCTCATGCGCTGCATACAAAGGCAATCTTATTTTTTTTTAAAGAAAGACATCTTTATTTTAAAATAAACCCCAATAATCTCATACTTCTGAAGTCAAGCGGCCCTAAATCCAACAGCAGAAAAGTAGAAATTACACTAGCTATATTAATTCTAATAAAATAAGCTAGAAACATCCATTCTACAAGGCTCTGATATCTGTAGAGATTCTATGAAGCTTCTTTCTCCCTTAAAAGAAAAAAAGCTTTGTTCATGAAAAAGAAATTTGTCATGCTATTTCTGGTGGCTATTTCTGGGCTTCCAAAAAGGGTTAGATGCCTGGAATCTATGCCTGACCTGATTTTCTTTAAAGTTCACTCATCTCTATTGAGAACATAGATTTAAATCTAAGTTCAAATGCAGCTAAGCAAAGAAAATAAGTGAATTGAAATTACAACTCTTGGAAACACATTAACAAGCTATAAGTATGTTACTAAGCTATCTCTATGTTTTCAAATCAGTGTGTTTTTTTAATTCTAGACCAAAACTGAAGCACAATCATGTTGATTTAAAATGTTATCTCATCTTCTGCAAAAAAATACTTTTATTAAGACACTCAGAAAATTTTATGTCATCATATCTAGAGTTTCATTGGATGAGGGTTGCATGTTTTCCAAATACAAATGATGCAGATAATATCCAAAGAATGCTCAACTTACTCTTGAAAAAAACCTCTGCTCTTCATTTTTGTTCAATGAATTTCTTTATAAAATATTGTAGTTTGTTAAATCTAAACAATTACTCTGTTCATTTAAAAAAATAAATTATAGTTCACCAATTTTTATCAAGAACTGTTTCATACATAACAAAGGACTGACAATATGCAAGTTACATTTAACATACAAGAAAACATCCGTATAGATATAATTTTTTTGTTAAAAAATCTAATTTCCAGCACTTTCACTGTACATATTGTTAGACACACTTCACTCTTTTCCAACATTAACACCATCAACTGAAGTTCATGAACATATTTAGCTGAATGAACAATTTCTCTTTAAAATCCAGATGCAGACTGCTCTGTCAACCATTCCCATAGCATCTCATTTGAAATTTGTTACTTCATAGAACATTTGTCACATCCCATTGCATTGTTTAGAGAAAATATTCCAACCACTACTATCTAGCTCTCCAATACCACCTCACCATCCTTCCTCCAACAATAAAAAAAAACAACTCAAACAAAAATAAAAAGATGGTGAAGAGCATCAGAACCATCAACGGCTATTTTTTTGTAAACAGGTGAACTATCATGTTCATGAAATAAAAGTGACATAAACAGTAGCTCTTTCGTGCAAGAATGATATTATTTTAGTCATTCAAGTTAACAACACTTATTTGTTTCATGTTGACAATTTTTTGATCTCTTCACCCTGTCTACTTCAATAGAACAAAGATTTTGCGTTAATAAGAAGTCAGTGTTTAGATTAGTGAATAACAAAATGAGGAACAAAGAGCACTGATTCAATTCTTGCTAGGGGCTTAAGAGTGCCTGTACCTAACTATTTCTGCAATCCAAAATGTACAGGTAAAAATCAGGTTAGGCTGGGGGTTAAACACCTTCAAGCAGTTACCCTATGGGGAGAAAACTGGGAACAGGAATGACTTTACACTGGCATTAGGCAAATTCCTGTTCATTGACCTTCATTACCAAAGCTCTTGGCACAGAATGCTCGGGATGCTCCTAGATGCCACTGTTGATAACATTGTGGAGGAAAGCAACGTGACAGGGTGCAAATAGGGAGAAAATAGGAAATGTTCAGCAAATAGCTCAGCAAGAAGACAAATCTATGTGATAGGCTGATATGCAGTCTTCCTAACAGGTGTCTGGTGGTTGCTTTACATACATATAATTAATAATGTATGCATGTGCAGCAAAGGTAGTTGCTAACTCTAAATCTATAACCTGGTCTTTTAAATGAGGGAATAGTCCTCTAAGATTTGATATAATGAAATCTAAGATTATAGCCACTACCAGGATAACAGTTTCAATTCCACCTTAGTTGCCTTTTTCTAGTCACCAAAAGTCTTAGATTCCCTTTTTGCAACTGTCCACAATTTGATATTGTTGCATATAAGCCCCCCCCCCGCCCCCAAGATGTAGCTACCTGCGGTAAAATTATAAGTGTTCTTTTTAAATGGGACTAGAAACTGAGCTTGATATTTAGTTCACCCTGTAGAAAATCCTAAATTTTGATCAAAGACATTTTTTGCACATCACACAAACCATTAAGATAGCTTGTGAACCAAACTTTTAGAAACATCTCACCCATTACACACTAGACTGTTTGTGTTTTCAAAAATGCTGCATTTCAGAACTGCACAAGCAAACAAAAATCATTCCCAAGACATCATACTCCCCACAATGTACCACAGGGTGTAAATAAACTTCAGGCAAGTGTCACAGACACAGTGATCTCGCTCCAGCCTCGCTGACACCGAGCTGGCCTTAGAGCAGATTCAAGCGGGAGGCATGAGCAGGACAGGTAGATGCCACAGGTAGAGGCTATTCTCAGGGCAGGACCGCCGGGTCCCCGTGCACTACAAAGTGCCAGTAACGGGCTCGCTGGGGGGTTGTCCTGCCCAGAGAAAACCCCTGAGTGTAACGGATCCAACCGCCACCGCAAATCCCGACACTTCTCCGTCCATCCGCCCCCGGCTCCAGCCAAGCACCCCGGGACGGCGGGGCGCGGAGAAACCGCCACACACCTACCTGCCGGGCTCCCGAGGAGGCTGCTGCCGCCGCCGCCGCCGCTGGCCGATGTGCCGGAGCCCGCCCGCGCTGCTCGCCCTGCCCGACAGGACTGTTCATTGAAAGCTCGGCGCCGGCTGCACACTCCGGGCTCTGGCTCGCCCTCCCCGCGCAGCACGCGCGAGCCCACCCGGAGGAGGGGAGCCGGGCCGAGCGGCCCCGCCCCCACTGCCTGGGTCCTACACCGTGGGGGGGGGGT